TATGTATATATATATGTATGTATATATATATGTATGTATATATATATGTATGTATATATATATGTATGTATATATATATGTATGTATATATATATGTATGTATATATATATGTATGTATATATATATGTATATATATATATGTATATATATATATGTATATATATATATATGTATATATATATATATATGTATATATATATATATATATATATATATTATATATATACTGTGTCTAATGCCGGGCCAGCTGATTTTACTCACCAAGCGGAGACCCTTGCACCTTATAATGGATTATAATCAAACAGGAGGGTATTAGTAAAATTCAGCATTGCTAAGTTCCCTTTACTCAACTGACCTGTTTACATCCATAAGCAAGGAGGTCAATCTTCTGAAATAGCAAAATCTGCATGTCCACTTTGCACGGCCAAGAAGGCTATTTGGGCATCAGCAGTGTTTCCACTTTCAAGGAAATTTCCTTTTTCAAGGAAATTTTGACCCTAAAAAGCAGTTTCAAGGAAAAAAAAGGAATCAAGGAAATCTAAGGAATTTTTGAAAAATTTAAGGAAATCTAAGGAATTTTCGCGAAATAAGAAATGTTTTGAAGAATCTGTCAGCAATCTTTTATTTTACTACTTTTCATCGCTCATAAGCACTATGTCCGCACGTAAAAGTGAAAAACAAACTCAGCAGGAGCATGTAATCAAGTCCAGATCTAGAATATAGAATTAATGAAACTGACTAGGCTTCTGTGGTGCAGCCTGAAAATTTTGGGTCGAAATCAGGCGGCGAGCGGGCTACCACGTGTTATTGTTAACAAACAAACTTACAGTGTCTTAACATTACTTTGTGTTAACTACTTTAGTTTTTTAAAATACTACTTTGACAACATGACATAGCTAAAATCATTAAATATATATTAATGAAGTGCGTGCACGAAGACAACATTGACCACAGTGCCAGCAGTAAGAAGAAAAAATACGACCAGAAATTCTTAAATGCCTGGCTAGCTGATCCTGAGTTCAAAGACTGGCTTGAAAAGCGACATGAAGTGCCTTACTGCAAGCTTTGCGAGTGTAAGTTATCTTGTGCAAAGACCGCACTGAAACGGCACAAAGAAAATAAAAAACACAAAGACCTGTGCAAGATTCAACTTCAAGCAAGCTCGCCAATAACTTCATTATTAGGATCACAAGTGAAGCCTGCAGCACGAATTGAAATAAAACTTTGTTCCTTCATCGCAGAAAAAAACTTCCCGATTAGCATCGTAGAAGATTTAGTGCCACTTCTTCGAGATCTTTTCCCTTCTGATCAGGCACTTCGCGAAGTGATGTTAGGGAAACAAAAAGCCACAAATGTGATCCGCCAAGTTCCGGGATTTTATTCTATCCAAGAATGTGTGGCCAAGCTAAAAGCAAATTTGTTTTCACTAATCATCGATGAGACAACAGACATCTCAACAACGTCGCAGCTTGCTGTACTTGGAGTCTATTTCAACGAAAAGGATTTTAGACTCGAGATTATTTTGATTGACTTGATACCTCTGAAAGATGGGAGGGCTACCACCATTTATACAAGTCTATTAAAAAGCCTGCGAGAAAGAGGAATTCCAATGCATAATGTTATTGGTTTCTGTGCAGATACCTGTAATGTTATGTTTGGAGCCAATCACTCTGTTTCCCAGCTCCTGGTTAAAGACCACCCATGGATTATAGCTGTCAAGTGCTCTTGTCATTTGATTCACCTCTGCAGTTCATACGCCTCAAAGACCCTTCCGAAATCAGTTGAGGACCTGTGTAGAAATATATTTTCTCACTTTAGTCTCTCAAGCAAAAGATGTGAGTCCTTTAAGGAATTCCAACAGTTTGTCGAGTTGAAGGAGCTAAGAATCTTGCGCCCAGGTGAGTGTGTATAACGCTATTCCGAAAGCATTGGAATTTTGCTGCATATTGGAATTTTGTATATATATTTTCTCTTATTTATTTTTTAAACTATAGGTCATACTAGATGGCTGTCAATGAAATCATGTGTCAAGAGAATTCTTGAGAATTATAATGCATTGAAGCTGTACTTCACTACTGTGGCATTTGAAGATGCTACGCACACCAATGATGCCATCCTTGCAAGCTTGAACAACAAGTTTACCGAAGCGTATCTTGAATTTATGGATTTTAATTTGGGTAGATTTGTTTCATTCAACTTACTGTTCCAAAGTGAGATGCCGCAACTCCATCTGCTGAGGTCAGAGGTAGAAAAATTAATCAAGGCTCTCTGTCTTGATTTTATGAAAGTAGAATATGTTAGAGCCACAGAAGCTTTCAAGATTGATCCCTCCCTAAAGGACAAACAGCTGCCTGTAAATGAAGTGTATATTGGGGTCTTGGCATCAGATACCATGAATGATATTAAGGAAGAAAATAATCCAGACATTCTACTTTTTTACTCCCAGTGCAGAGAGTTTTTGATTGAAGCTGTGAAGCAGATCCAAGCACGTTTTGTTGATTGCGAAAAACTGGACATCATGTCTTGTCTCTCGCCTACTGTTGCATTCAATTTGAAGATGTCTTCTTTTAGTGGACTGTATCAGAAAATGCCTTTCCTTGCTCAAGTTGCTGACCTTCAAAAAGTGGATCAGGAATGGAGAGAGCATTCATTAAATCCAAACCTGAATGAAAGTCTCAGTGCTGACGAATACTGGCAAGTGGTTTTTAAGGAGAAGAGAACACCAGATGAACTTGCTGCACCAAATTTGGTTAAAGTGGTGAAAGTTCTACTGTCCTTGCCTTTTTCGAATGCTGCCGTTGAACGAGTGTTCAGTCAGTTGAAATTGGTTAAGACAGACCATAGAGCTAATCTAAAGCAAGAAAGTTTGCTTGGTCTTTTAACAACGAAGATGACTCTCTTGAAATCTGTTCCTTCCGATGTGTCTCAAACTGTAAAGCTCGAGCCAACAAAGGAGATGTTAAATCTCTACAAGGAAATGAAGTCAAATGCGGACAATGACGAGGTTACTGAACTGCGGAAGACCTTCATAGAGAAACTTAACATTTAAATTGGCAAAGAATGCATGTACATAGTATAGTTTTTATTAACGTTTTGCTTAAACGCTGTCACGATAACCGATAAAATTATCACTGGACCATAGACTCCATAGTATAGCGTGACTATTGAGTATTGAGAACAATTTAGCATTTTACAGCATTCTAAACTTTCCTGTATTTTTCTATTAAGATTTATAATGAAAAAATTGTTCCATACTGTCTTGCTTTATTAATTGTGAACTATAGTTGCCGCAATATACCGGGAAAATACGTTTGGTTAATCAAGGAAATTTCAAGGAAATTACATTCCATTTCAAGGAAATTCAAGGAAATTTTAAAGCAAAATCAAGGAAATTTGAATGATCCGTTGTGGAAACACTGGGCATCAGCTTCATAAGGAGCAACAACATACTACAAGGACTATTCGCGACATAACTAGAAAGTTCATTGAAAATTAGTACATTATTTTGAGAGTGTTAAATATGGTTGAAAAACCCATGAAATAAAAGGAACAAAACTCACTTAGAGTCAAGTTGTAATCGATCTCGATAGCCCCAGCAGTGTGTGTATGTCAGACTAAAATATGCCTTGATATGTATATTATTATAGATTGTGTGGAGCACAAACATGATATTAATAAACATCATTATTTTCTTCCCAGTTTGTGTAATATATTTAGCTAATAATAATGTGCAGCCTCTGGTATCATTATGAACAAATATGCAATGAAGCAAAAGTTAGTTTTCAAATCAAGTTAAAACAAGTAGAGAGTCATTGATGAGGCCCTGTTAGGGTAAATTCCGACAGGCGACATGGCGTTGAAACGGCGACATGGGAGAGCTGAAATGGCGACAAGCGAAACCAATTTTGGTTAAAATTGCGACAGCGAATTGGTAATAACAAAAAATGACAGCGAATCGTGTTATTCCTAACATGCGACAGCGACACTGCGTTATTTGTAGCCATTTGTACCTTTGACACCTTACCACACGTAAGAAATTATATTGAAAACAGTTTTGTAAAATCGTAAAACGCATCGAAGACATCGAAAATGTTTCTGTGATTGAAGACATTGATCAGCGGTCATCATAAAAACACAGAACGGTATACTATATATAAGTCGGTGTGAAAACACCACAACAATGTCAACAAAATGTTTAAAAATGACAAAATGTCATTGGCAAAGTACAGTTTTCAGGCGTAGGGGGGCGGAAAGAAATTTGCCTGACTTTTCCGGATTGTGCCCGACCAGTACCGAAAAAATTTTTCCCGGAATTTTATTTCGGTCAGTGTACCATTTTAGGGGTCAAAAATTTTTTCGGGCATGCCAATATTTTTCGGAACATCACACAAATTTTCGAAACATCACAAAATTGAGCATAAAATTGACAAAATTTGTCCCATTTGTACCAAAATTTGTACCAAAATTGCCCGACTGTTGAGCGAATATTGCCCGACTGCCCAAAAAACTGGGCGGGCTAAAACGGTACGCCCATGTACACAATCGTGAAATAGTCAACAGTCCTGGTTGATGCAATCGAATTTTTGGTTAATGGACCCTATTAAGAAATAGCATACATGGTTAAATGACGTGAAATAATGACAGGGACATACCCAACTCCTCAAATCGCGACATAACAAGTTTTGAAATTCAGACTGGCGACATTAGTACCCCCCCTAACAGGGCCTCATTGATAGACTCCTATAAATTCAGGAAATCACATGATAGTGTCTGGTGAGGTTTATTCTTTAAACTGATAAACTTCGGATGCATAGCAAAAAAATTGTCACAATTTTACTAAACATGTATTCCTCTGTTAAATCAGTGGTTAAGCTTGCACAAGGTATCATGTACCCACTCTTTTAATCTCATATTGGTGTAAACAAGGGTGTAATCTAAAGTTCAACACTGTTTAACCTCTTCATCAATGATTTACCTAAATTAATTGTTTAATACAAATTGTGATCCTATAAATTAAGTTTGGTGATACTGAGTTGAGTTGTTTATTATATGCCGGTGACTTGGTAATAGTGTCAGAATCGAAATCTGGGCTACAACAATGCCTTCAAAAATTGAAATTATATACTGTACTAAGATATAGAAATTACAAGTTAACCTAAAAAACCCTGAAATTTTTATATTTGGGACATAGTCCCAGAGACGACAGTTTATCTTGTCTAAGTAGTACTTTGAGCACAATCCACTGGATTGTGTAGACAAATATATGTATTTGGCATCAACTTTTCATTGTGCTGGTAATTTTAAAATATGGCAATAACAATGTTATACAACCAAGCATTACAGGCCGCTTACCATTATCTAATGCACAAACTTTCAAATGCAGAGAATATACTGATTAAAACATTACTAAAACTATTTTCATCATAGTTCTATTGTATGGTTGTGAAATCTGGGGTGTATGTTTATTGGATAAAATCTCTTTGTTTGAACTTTTTCTTCTTGGTGTTGTAAATAAAGTGGAATCAGGGCCTTTCAGAGTGGGGGGAAGGGTGCAATTTGCCCCAGGCTTAAGGGGGGCCCCCACATATGCAAATTAGGCAAATGCATTAATTAAGCATGCAAATAGCTGATTTTTAGGAAAAATGTAACTTTGCGTGAATAGTTAAGGGGCTTAAACTAAACCAAATTGTCTGAAATTTTGTACAGTAATTAAAAACCCGACAAATTTTCCATCTATTAACTCAAAATATGATTGCAGCTTTTAAATTTTGTGTGCGAGCCATTTTTATTTTGTTGGAAAAGACACCCCCCCCCCCTGGTTCACAAAATTTGCGTTCGAGAAATTTTTTCATCATTCTACATTATAAGTACCCAAAGAAGCTATATATATATAAAAACCCGGATACAAATAGGTGTTTTGCGAAATTGAGAGCAATTTAAAATCTGTTGAGTTTTTTTTTATACACCCTGTAGAAAACCATTGTGGACAGAATGTTCAAATTTTGAAATCATTTATTTTCAGGCAAATGTAACCTACAATATTGGAAAGCTTAGAAAAAAAACTAAAATATAGATCATTAAATTAAACGGTTATATTCAATTTACTGGTCAGTTTGTTGTTATTCTAGCTCAAAATTGGAAAAATAGTGCAAAATTTGCACAAAATACAAATTTATGGCATTTTAAATCTTGTACAACTTCGGCTGGATAGGCAAAAGCAAGATAACCGTTTAATGATTTATATATTAGTTTTTTCTAAGCTTTCCAATAATGTAGGTCACATTTGCCTAAAAATGATTTCAAAATTTCAACATTCTGTCCACAATGGTTTTCTATAGGTAGAAGTAAGAAAATCGCCATGTTCTGCCAAAGGGATTTTTAGTATGTTAATCGGAACAACTTTTCTCACACTTTACCACTGAAAACAAATCTATTGCAATTACTTTGATCAGGACCATGTACTTATAGTGATTTGACTGGACTACAAAATGAAGCAAAGTCTCGTAGGATGCTAGAAGATCTAAATTGGTACACAAAAATCAAGAATCCCCAGAGAAGTAATGAATGTCAGTCCCAAGAGGTTGAAATTGGTAATGACGAAGATGAAGATGAAGACGGTTATCAAAAAGGAGATGATAATACATCTACAAATTCAAATACCATTACTACTACTGACACAGGCGAGGCAATGGCCGCTTGAGTAAGCCCTGCTGAGACTATGACCACACAAGCAACTGAATTATGGTCGTCTGATGCTGAAAGAACATAAACATCTTTACTGTCAAACAATCCTTCAAGTTGGGGACATGTATCGGAACAAGACATGGAGTATATTACTAAAATTGGCCCGCCAGAAAATCCTAAATTTTTCCCAAGACACAGTTCTGGCCGTAACTTTCCTCAAAATATTTTTTGTCAAGAAATGCCAAATGGCGAAAAGGTAAAAAGAGATTGGTTGGTGTGGAGTGCATCAAAACAAAGTCTCTTTTGCTTCCCATGTTGTCTTTTCCAAGAAATATCACAAAAAGAGAAAATCTCTGAAAAATCCCACCTGACAAGGCCTGATGCAGGACATAAAGATAACTGGAGAAAATTATATGAAAAAATTGATGTTCATCAGCGAAGTTCGTCGCATGTGTTAAGTTATATTACGTGGAAAGAACTTGAAAAAAGCCCTGATAAAAAAAACTGGAATTGATCAGCCAGAAATATGCAGAAATTCGAGATATTTTCTTAAATAACCCTTTTTTCAGGTATATAGAGTATCAATAGGTATTTCTGATTGACACAAATAATTTATTCCTATATATTATAAGTATACATGATAACTCTATCATGAAAATAGTTGCAAAACAGTGCCGTAGCCACATAGGTGTACAGGCACAATTTTATGGGGGGGGGGGGCAAACAAAATTTGGTCGAATTTTTAAGCTGATGACAAAAAGTGCCCGAATTTTGATAAGACTTTTTATTTGATTTTACAAATGAATTATCTAAATTTTAGCAAGTGCATTCAACATTTAAATTGGAAGCCTGGCTAAAAGCTTTCACAATAGAAGACATAGCTATCTCGTCGATTTCGTCTACCAAATTTTACCAAAAGTACAGGTATCAATCATTTTAACCATGTCGTTCTTAATAGTTCGGTTAGCATATGGTCGTTCAATGTTAATGACAGCAATAGAATTCAAGCGTTCTTTGCCCATGCCCCATTGTCGAGCGGAGGTAGGATTTCACACGCCACAATCCACTGAATGACCTTTCAGCAGTACATGATGTAGCAGGAGTCGATGCAAGGCAGGTAATAAGTCGCATAGTCTATCTTGAAACATTTTGTCAACGATGTCTGCTGCAGTTTTTGCCAGATGATTGGACTCGTCCATGATGGAATTGTGATACATACTCTTCTCGACTTCAAGAAAATCCCTATTGACATTGTAAAACTCTGCCACAACATCAAAGCTGTTTTCTAAAAGTGAGTTGTTTAGCAAAACATCTCCCAGAACACACAAGCACTTTGTCGAGAGATAGGTAGAATGTATTGATGCGATGATGGGCTTTCAGCGTTGTCACACACATGGTATTCGTGAATGTGGATTAACCGATAAGTGCTTGCAGGCGACGGGATGTTTTTTCCGGGGTGCCATTGCCTCTTTGAATCAAAAACGAGATCCCTTGATGTCCTTTTTCATTTCATTGGACATGATCTGTGCTCTTTCCCACAAAAGTTCAAAATTCTCTTCGTTGTGACATTTATGGAGTGTATTGCTCGTGAGATCAGCATTTCTTTTTGCAGTGATAATTAACGTCGACACCTTTCCCTTGTAGATAGTTACTTAGACTGCTTGTATTTGATAATATCACCTTCAGAAGAATCAAGCCAAATACGAATTCAAAATCACAAATGGCATTCAAAATGGCGATGCTGTCAATGTATGTCTTAGTATTTCTTATCTTTTGCTAAAATGAGAAGAGCTTTGAGCTTTGATAATTTTCGAAATTTCCTCGGTGACTACTTTTACTGCTTCCCATGTCTGTAGGACCATCTCGTTTCACTCAAAGATTTTAGTGTGAGAACAACGTGATCACCATCTATCTTACCAGAATTAAACATGGCATTGGCGTTTTGGACTTACCTCCAAGAAATTATACAGATTTGCAATGTCCCTAGTGCATTTCGGAGTGGTTACACATCACTCATAGTGTCTTGCAGTGCCAAGTTAAGGATATGCACTATTGAATGTCATTATTTAACTATCAGGTTACATAATTCATTTTTGCCCAAATCTGGGTGAATCCCTTGCCCGAATGGCTTGATTCTCAAAGTGTTTGGAGGGCAGTTGCCCCCCCCCTGCTCTCCCCCCACCCCGTACGCCTATGCGTAGCCAGCTCGATAATTGGGGGGGGGGCAGATATTCATATATTCGTATTCACAGACCATAAAAACAATCGATTTCTAAAGAAATTAACAACGCAGAACATGAATATATGAATATCTGCCCCCCCCCAATTATCGAGCTGGCTACGGAACTGTTGCAAAATATTCTTACAATATTCTTATACTATATGATACTGTAACCAGTACATTGCATATATTATGATGCATAATATAAAAAGTGTAATAGACATGTACTTTTTATAGTTTTATAATGTTAATCAGTTATTATAATGATACATTTTGGTATCTTAATTTATCACATAGTTTCATGTGTGTTTGTGTATAGGCAGGTATAAAAGTCGGACCGGATTGTGGTCCGGGTCGGATCAGGTCAGATCTTTAGAAATTTCAGGATATTCAGAGAAATGTTACTTACACAAATGGAAGTTTGCATTCTTTCCCGTGTTATTTACACAGCATAAAACAACGTGGCAAGGTTAAAATGGAAAACCTGTCGTTAACCGAATTTATATCTGGACGAGTTTTTCATCATAGACGAGTTTCCAGTCTCAGACGAGTTTCCAGTCTCAGACGAGTTTCCAGTCTCAGACGGAAATCCGTCCTCTAATATGAATTCACTTATTGCCATGGCTATTTTAAAAAGTTGTGATAATAAAGCGGGATATAAATATAATGTCTAATGAAAACAATAGTTTGCATGTTTCTGATCTGAGTTTTCCATCTTCAAATTTCACATATGAAGCGTGTCATGCGTGTATTTTCATTTTGGCAATTTGGCACGACTGGAATAGCGACTCGGTCATCTATGGATCCGGTCCGACTTTTATACCTGCACGATCCGACCCGGACTACCATCCCGGTCTGACTTTTATACCTGCACGATCCGACCTGATCCGACACGGACTGGCGATCCGGTCTGACTATTATTTTGTGTATCTGTGTGACCCGACCACCTAAAATATTAAAAATTTAATTTTCATATACCCCCCTCCCTCTCTCCTCATCTATGAACCCTGTACTTTTATATATCCTATTTTATACTAAATACAATTATACAGATGATGATTTATATTGAGATGTTTTAAAGTATATATTATAGTTAGTACTTGATGACATTTGCAGTTGTTCAACATCTGATATAGACATTCCCTCAACTACAACATTTTGTCCTTAATCTTCAGCATTTGTTTGCGATATTTGTTGAGGTTGCCATTTTTGTCCACTAGTAGCAACAACAAATGTTGTTTCTGATTCATATGCCATAAAAAGTTTCATTGTCGCCGACTTCGTCCCATCTTCTATGTAAATGACAACGTTGTTTTCATCTATGTTAAGTCTCTGCCGTGCTAAATGGATGAAAACAGTAAATTGCAAGTATAAATAATGCCTCACTGATGACGCATAATTATGTTCACAACCTACCTTTGGTGACAAATTCATCCATTGAATCGGCAACAATTGCTTTTTTAACCGATCTATTTACGTTCCATGCATTAAAACCTGGCATCTTTATAGTTAATTCACAGGATAGCTATAAAAAGCTGATCAGTATACTGGTATAGACAGGAACGTTTGTATAAAATAAAAGACAATGTAAATTGACAAATCATTTCCATACCGTGTCATCAGTCTCTTTTGCCAGGTTGTCTGCATGGTAGGCAAAAAGTAGTTTTTCGGAAACTTTGCTGTGATGTCATCTTTTTTGTCTTCAGATGTTTTATCGTATGGAGGTATTGAACAAGGTCGAAAGAATATTGAGTCATCAGGGCTGTCCTTTTTCTATGTTTCAATTTTTTCTCCAAATTTTCTTGGTCAATCTTTGACAGCATATTTTTTACGGTTGCACAATACATGTCATCTTTGTCCCCAGGCCCAAGCTCGGGTGGCCCTCACAGTCGCCCTGGTTCAGGCTGTTGAGCAGTTGATTGTGAGCAGTTGGCTGTTGAGCAGTTGGTTCTTTTGCTCTAAAGGAATGTTGCAGGGGGAAGGACATGCAGGTTAACAATAAACCATGGCTGGTGTGAAGAGTGGCAATTAAACTTGTATTAAATTATGGTAGAAATCAGATATTTACATGTAAATTTTTGCTTAAACGTTGCGCTATAGTTTAGTAGGACTGGAAACTAAATCGGATTTTGAACGATGTGAATTAAGTGGAAAACACCACGAGTTGTTGATGTGTTGTAAAATGAAATAAGAACAAATATAAGGACAAAATATGTTGGAAATATTACATTATTTATCGTTTAAAGTAACGGTGAATGGTTGCGGGACAATTGGGTTATTATTATTCAGGATTGTGCAACTTGTAAGTTTATATTGGAATGGAGTATCTCTTATACACACTGGTATTTGTTTATATTGATAACTATATTATTATACGTAATATATGTAATTGATATCTCTTTAATAGGATTTGAATAAAGTTTAACTTTCATACGAATCGGCAAATATCCATACAAGAGAATAAACAAAAGGTTCCTATATGCTACAGGTTGTTTCACCATTCAAATCAAGGAGAATTATATTATTTATTAAGATTTCAGTCTGTAGAGGAACATATGGTAACAATTGTCAAGCCTAAATATATATTCATCGTCATTTTTTTATTTGTAATAATGAATGAAGCAAAAAAGGCAAGAACTATTGCTAAATCATCATTTACCCGTAGTGCTAAATCCATCCAACGGCTAATCGAACAAGGACGGCCCGAACCGGAAGTTGTCAAAGCAGGTGGCATATTTGAAACAGCCTATGAGAGAGTACTATCTAAGCATGAAGGATTTGCAATACTTGTAGAAGAAAAAGATTATGAACAGGAAGAATGGATGGAAGATGTGTCAAAGAATATGATGTTATTTGTAATAATGATAAATGATTATAAAATAACCATGGCTCCGAAGAACAATATTGCAACTGATAAAGTGGAAAATCCAGCCAGCTCTCAGGATGTCGATGTGGACCCAAACAACACAAATATACCATCTGGATCAGGCATTGATGAGACTGCAGAATCTGTACCACCAGGGGAGGCGGAACCCACTGTTACATTGGAATTATCACCTGACAACCAAGCTGCCGCAACTAATTTGCCCACTTATGCTGCACCCTCAGCCAGTCTAACTTCCATGAAATTGAGAACAGAGAGAGCACCGCTTCCTAAATTTGATGGAAATGTTCGAAATTATCTGTATTTTCGTAGAGATTTCAATTTATGTTCTTCGTAGCTGCCTGGACAAAAGCAATGCCGACCTGATTAAATTCAAGGAGGACTACGATGCTGCATGGGAAAAATTAGACTGAGAGTATGGCGACCCGAGAATTGCTTCTGATGTCCTGCTGTCTGACTTGGAGAAAGTAAAGCCAGTGGATGAATTTGACTATGCACACTTTGTTCAGTATCATGCTTTAATTGAGAAGATATTCAGCATGCTGACAACTGAATCGACCCGGAGATTTGGATAATACAACAACACTGAGTGCCATGGAGAAAAAATTATCAAGGAATGACCGTCTAAAGTGGGCAGACTACCAAGAAGAAAAGGGGGTAGCTCCAAAAATTGAAAACTTTCTAAAATGGATGGAGAAGGAAGTATGAAAGAGAAAGATTGCTGGAGCTGATATTCGTTCCCAGAGAACAATTTATTGAAGCGCTGACAACAAAGGCTCAGTAAATACCATCACATTGAAAGGTGAGAAGGATTCCAGCATGGGTACCAGCACGGGTACCAACACGGACAAACTCGATTCAAGGACTGAGAATCCAGGTGAAGTATTAGGTGAGGGCAACCAATCACCACCACAACCGACGTTTCAGCATTGTTGGTTATGCAAACAGCCCCACCAGTTGGACACATGCCAACGGTTTCTGAGTATGACCCCTACTGTTCGTCTCACAGAGGTGAGGAAAGCTCATGCATGTTACTTTTAAAGTTGTTTAAGTACTTGTACTTGTTGTCCCCAAGTAAAGCTGGGGGGACCGAAGAGTTGCTGCAAACTAAGATCTACACTCTCCAGATTGGTTCCCTTGATGGTGGCCCGAAATTCGTGTTGAAAGCCGTAGCTATTTCTCTAATAAGTGAAAACGTCACGGCGGTTCGTATTGAGAAGTATGCAAAGTTGTTGAAGATTGACGTCAAGCGACTTCCTTATTGGCATCGACCATCGACATCAAGTAGACATCCTCCTTGGCATCGACCATGCTCGACTTCACAGTGGCAACACGCTAGTCAATGGAAATTTTGCTGTGCGGCAATTCCCTCTAGGGGCGGTAGTTTTTGGAGCTGGTCCCGATGGTTTATGTTCAGTGAACTGCATCCATCTTGTTCGACTTAATGACCCAGTTGATCTAACTTCTTTCTGGTCCACTGAGCAAATGGGGGTAGAAGTGAACCCTTGCTATACCAAGAGAACACCAGGGGAGAAACTGCTTAGCTCTATCGAGAAGGAAGAGGCGAAGATTATTCGCGACAGTGCTGTAAAGGTCGGACAACAATGGATGATCCCTATACCATGGGCAAAGGATCCAAATGAACTTCCGGACAACTATAGACAAGCTTTGGCTAAACTGGAAAGTATTGAAAAGCGGCTCTTAAAGAACAAGGAAAATTCAAAAATGTATGATGATCAAATATTGGAAATGGAAAAACATAGCCATGCAAAGAAGCTCACACAAAGGGACATAGAACAACATAATGGTCCAGTGCATTACATCAGCCATCACGTTGTTATCAAACCGGAAAAGAAGTCCACTCCTTGTCGCGTTGTCTTTAATGCTGCTGCGAAATACCATGGTCATATTCTCAATGAATACATGCTCAAAGAGCCAGATCTCCTCAATGATTTAGTTGGAGTCCTCTTACAATTTCGGGAAAATCATGTTGCAATCTTGGGGGATGTCTCAAAAATGTACCATCAAGTTCTTGTTGATCCTGTTGTAGATGCACATTCCCATCGGTTCCTCTGGCGAAGTTTTGAAAACTGTGAACCAGACATTTATGTTAAAACAGTTCTCACGTTCAGTGATAAACCTGCTCCACCCATGGCAAATACAGCAATGGATCTCACAGCTGAAGAGAATCCTGAAAATTATCCAGATGCAGCAACAACCATCAAAGAGTGTCGATACATGGATGACATTGCCGACTCAGTTACCTCGATTGGTGAAGCTGTTAAACATACGAATGAGATTGATCACGTTCTCAGTACAGGACACTTCAAGATCAAAGAATGGATTTCTAATGCAGATTTATCAGAAAGTCGTCCTGTGGACCACATTGCAGTGCACAAAGTACCAGTGAGATCGAAAAAAAACACTCCTGAAGGAACCACTATATCAGAAGAGAAAGTCCTGGGAGTGGCTTGGAATCGAGAGTTGAATTTGGTGTCTATATCAGTAAACAGCCCCAAAGTTCTTATGGCCTGTAAAGTTGATGGTGTAGAGTGGACAAGGCCAATTAAACTGACAAAGCGGATGGTGTTGAGCATAATCTCTGGGATATATTCGATGTATTTGGATTTGCAGCCCCTTGGATTATTCGTGCCAAGATTGGTATTCAAGAGCTGTGGAAGGGAGGATATGAGTGGGATCAAGATCTACCCCAACAAGTGAAAGACAACTGGTACAAATGGTTTGACGACTTATCAAAGCTTAAAGATGTTACCTTTCAACGATGCTTCACCCCAGAAGATGTGTTGGGAAAGCCAATCCTAATAATTTTCAGTGATGCTTCAGAAAAGGCATTTGGAGCGGTGGTCTACATAAGGTGGAGATTGATGGATGGTTCCTTTGCAGTTAGGTTCATCATGGCAAAGTCGCGAGTCGCTCCAGTGAAGGAATTAGCAATGCCGAAACTTGAACTGCAAGCAGCAGTAATCGCTTGCAGACTCAATCATACTATCCAAAGTGAATGCCACTTGGAGTTTGAGAAGACAATATTTTTCTGTGATTCCATGATTGTTTTGGTTTGGATTCAAAATGAAATGAAACATGTTTCTTTGTCTCCGTGCATGTTGCCGAAATCAAGGCTAAATCAGACCCAGCAGATTGGCGTTATTGTTCAACTGATTTAAATATTGCAGACAATGTAACCCGAGGTTTGTGTGTCGAAAATCTGTCCGGTCGCTGGAAACACGGAGAAGCCTTTCTTCTTCAGCCAGAAGATCAGTGGCCATCAATGCAACTGAGTCAGGACAATGATGCAATGCAACTGAGTCAGGACAATGATGTTGTTGTTAATTTACCAGCCTGCTGTCTCCTGATGCAGTTTACCAAGCAATTCTCCAAGTACCGGCGGGCAGTTCGAGTCCTGGCGGTAATCCAGAGGTTTATCCACAACTGCAAAGCAAGGAAAGTTGCAACTTATCAACGTCTGTCTGGCGCATTGACAGTCGCTGAATTGGAGGAAGCAGAAAAGGTTCTAGTTAAAGATGCACAGTCAGCGATAAAACCCTTAATCCAGAAGAATGAATTCAGAAATCTGGCACCATTCATTGATGATGATGGTATCATCCGCGTCGGAGGCCAAATTGAGAACGCACCGGTTTCATATGAGACTCGACATCCACCCATTATTCCATGTTGCCACTGGCTATCTACCCTAATCGTAAGACAAGCACACCAGTATGGACATCTCGGCATAGCGGAAACCACAGCAAAGACACAGAAAAGATTCTGGATCGTCGGCTTACACCACATTGCGAAGAGTGTGAAATTCAAGTGCGTCTTCTGTCGGTAGAGGGCACAGAAAAACGAAATACAAATGATGGCAAACCTCCCACCATATCGACTTACACCATTCACACCACCGTTCTTTTATACAGCTGTCGACCTATTTGGTCCTATCAAAGTCAAAGTTGGCCGAAACAAATATTGGGGTGTCTTGTTTACATGTCTGAAAGTCAGAGCTGTTTACATTGACGTTGCAACAGATTACTCGGCTCCTGGTATTTTACCCGTACTGAGAAGATTCTTCTGCATCTGGGGCTATCCACGCTGTCTGTGGAGTGACCGAGGAAGTCAACTAGTAGGTTACGGAAAGCCATTGAGGGAAGAGATACCACAGAACTGAAAGATTTCCTACACAAGAAGGGTATAGAATGCCATACGATCGGAGATCAAGTTCTCGCTACTTTGGAGTGTCAAACGGTATTATTCGAAGCGGCAAACTTACTGAACCAACGCCCGATTGGTCGTATTCCTAATGATGCTGCAGACGGCACATACCTCTGCCCGAATGATATCCTGCTTGGCCGAGCATCGACTAACACACCCCAAGGCCCTTTCAGACAAACAAAAAATCCATGCCATCGATATGAATTTTGTTAGCGGATTGTAGACAATTTTTGGAAAAGATGCTATCAAGATGTTTTTCCATCCATGGTTCCCCGACGGAAGTAGCATACTAAACGTAGAAATGTTCAGGTAGATGATATCATTGTGTGGATTCATACGAATCGGCAAATATCCATACAAGAGAATAAACAAAAGGTTCCTAAACGCTACAGGTTGTTTCAACTATGGTATGGATACATTCAAGACTTCTGGAAACCAGGCACTTGGATATTTGAAGGATTAAATACATTTCAAAGTTGAAAGGAATTGGATGATAAAGATATATATTTTACAGTTCAACACTCAGATATCAGTCACACTTCATGCATGACTATAGAAATTTATATCTTGTGAATGCAACATCTACAAGTGTAAATTGTCGCCCTCCACCTATCTGTTTGCATCAACGCAATTGTGTACATTGTATTTGACAATTTGAAGAGTTTAATTTAATACCAATAATTTAACTGTGTTATATGATTTATATTGAGTCTATTGACTGTAGGTGCGTTGTTGACTTGATGCCATGCAGGGAGGGCTTTTCAATATAGCATTTTGTACGATCAATGATTCCTTTTTAAGCGGAAATATTTCATATTTTTGTACACTTTGGGGGCGACGCAATCATAGACGGATTTTCATATTTATTCCTGGGATGGTGCCAGAAATTTTAGGGGGGTGAGCCGTGAGCAGGTGACTGACTTCAAGGAGTTATTGAGAGATTCGTTTAAAGAAGCTTTATCGGGCATGATTGCACAAGTGGTGAAACCATTTGAAGAGAAAATAATAAAACTCGAGGAAAGAGTGCTTCAATTTGAGGAGAAATGCAACGAAAATGAGCAATACTCACGCCGGTACAATGTTCGTATTTACAGGGTGAATAACTCAACATCAGCTGATAGTTACGGGTATGACACAAAGGAAGATTGCTTTAAAACTGTGATCGAGTTTTGTAGAAATGAACTCGGCATTGAAGTCAAGCACGAGGAAATCGATCGAGCTCATCGCGTGGGCAAACCCAACAGAGATGGCGCGAGGGCGTTAATAGTTAAATTTAAGAGCTATGAGTCCAAACGCAAAATAATGATAAACAAACGGAAATTAAAGGGGAGGAAGCTTTACGTGAACGAAGATTTAACTTGGATGAATCAGCAGCTGCTGAAACGAGTTCGTGATGCTATTGCAGGGAATGCTTATGTGTTTACTGCTGATGGTTATATTTTGGTCAAGGTTAAACCCGACCGCCCACCAGTCAGAATTCGCAGAGACTCCGACTTATTGAGATATGACTTCGAATAATTTGACTAACTTGGCTATGGCTGACTACCGACTTTTCTTTCATATTTTTCTAATCATTAGTTGTCGTAATTTGTGTGTCTTTGAGTTCGCTTGGCTGTTGTGTAATTATTCCTGTATTGTTTGTGCATTATTTGTTTTATTTATCCGAATCCCATTAGAAATATTTTGGCTATTAAGAGATTTTGTTGTGGCGGGCTGTGTGATAAGAGGTGAGTATTTTATTCATTCCTATGATATATTTGATGGGGGATGATTTGCAAGTGCATAGAGCAGCAGCAGGGCATAGATCAACAATTGGCCTTTCCGTGGCACATTTAAATGCTCGTAGTCTCTCTATTTCGGACAAATTTAGTGAAATCTCTGCACTGATTTTATCGAATGCATTTGATATTTTTGCTGTTTCGGAAACTTGGCTTAATGCTAATATTTCAAGTGAACAGCTTATGATTCCTGGCTATAATACTCCCTTGAGGAAAGATCGCGTGGGTAGCAGGGGTGGTGGTGTGGCAATGTATATCGCTGATTATTTACCATATGTAAGGAAACATGAATTTGATTGCCAGGCATGGAGTTGTTATGGGTAGAAGTTATTTTAAATAAGTTCAAAATTTTATGTGGTGTTTGCTATAGGGCTCCCAATTCCAGTGCATCTCAGATTAATGATTTCTTTTCCTCACTTCCAGACTGCTTAGACAATATTAGGAGTAGTAACTATACGTCTGTTATTCTTCTGGGGGACTTCAACGCCCATTATAATTTTGTTAATACCACGATGCCCAATACTGATGTGGGACTCAAACTTTTTCACTTCTTAGAATGCAACAATTTAGCTCAACTTGTAAAGGAACCTACTAGAATAACTGAGTCAGTCGAGTCTATTCTAGACCTCATTATTTCTGATTCGCCGGATCTGTTTCGACAGGCACCTTAAGTCCACCGTCAAATTGCGATCATAATATAGTATTTGGAAAACTGTCAATATCTAAGCCAAAAACAAGATGTTATGTTAGAACAGTGCGGAATTTTAGCGACATTGATGTGAATCAGTTAAATAATGCTCTTATACAAGCCGGGTGGGAAAATATTTTTCGCGATTTCACGTCTGATATAGATGTTATTTATGAAAATTGGTTTGAATTATTTTCATCGATAGTCAACCGGTATATTCCAAAA